CACCCTGCCCCCCCAGAGGGGAGCCTCCTTCCTAGCCCCTACCCTCAGACAGGAGCCACCCTCCTGCCACCCCCACAGACGGGAACCGCCTTCCTACACCCCCCCCCAGATGGGAGCCACCTTCCTACACCCCCCCCAGATGGGGGCTGCCTTCCTATCTGTCCTCAGATGGGAGCCCCCTTCCTATCCCCTGCGTCCAAAACAGGCCTGCCAAGAGGCCCTCTGGCCCCCCTGGGGCTGGCTGTCCTCTAACCTGGCTCCACTTTCATCACAGCTCAGTGGCCTCACAGCGGCTCTGTACAATTCACCTCTGGGTCCCAGCTCCAGGACAGAGCCTGGCAGAGCCAATGGAACACAATTTTGCTTTCATACCCAAGGCTCCCTCCACCTGGACTGTCCCTCCTTCCTTTTCTTGGGTGAGAAAATCCTATTCAGCCCTTGCAACTCCACACATGTCACCTCTCCCAGAAGCCTTCCCTGAGGTCCCCACACTCCCTCCGTGTGGCCCGGTGGCCGGGGTCAGGTCTCTGTGTCAGCAGAGGGCTTCCTAGCTCTCTGACTCACTCACTTGCCCCAGGACCCAAAATGGCTTGTCTGGTCGTGGGCTCCGCCGTGGTGGCCATGGGTGCAGAGCACCACCTGCCACACAGGACAGACAGCAGGTCCGACGGCCGCAGCTGAGGCCTGAGATCTCCCCTCTTGGGGCTCTTCACTGCCATGCCCACTGAAACTCATCAAGTGCAACCCACCTTCCCACACCGCGGAGGCGGTGGCTGAGAGGAGGCTGGTGGCAGTGACTGACCTCGATTTCCCAGAACAGACCTGATTCTAAATACCCTAATTCTGGGGCCAGCAGGTGGCGTAGTGGTTGCAGTACTGGACTCCCACATGGCTGATGGTCTGAGTCCCAGATATGGCAGCTTGCTCTCTCACTTTCTCTCTCTCTCTCTGGTGAATTAAAAATAATAACAATAATTAGAACCAACAGATGGCATAATGGTTACATTGCTGGACTCCCACTTAGTCAACCGTGGTTCAAGTCCTGGACCCAGTGCCTTAAAACTCATGTGGGCACCTGTGCGTGCATGCTGAAAATCCCGAGGGGAGAATGCAGAAGGAATTAAGACGTCGCTATCTCCTCAGGGGGTGATTTCTCACTTTTTGTCTCTCTGTCTCTCTGGTAAGTACATGTGCCCTATAACAAATATCTCTCAAAAATAAATAATGATACATAAAATTAATAATTCTTTTTTAAAAAAACCAACAGCAGGGGATCAGCAGTTAGTGTAATGGCTATGTCGCTGGACTCCCATGTAGTCGACCGCGGTTCGCGTCCCAGACCCGGTGGTTTAAAACTCACGCCTGGTGCGTGTGTGTGCGTACCCAAGATCCCTAGAGGAGAATGGAGGAGAAGGGATTGTGGCGTGGCCAATCTCCCTGGGGGGTGATTTCTCGCTTTCTGTCTATTTCTGTCTGTCTGGCGAGTGCACACGTCCTATAGCAAAAAAAAAAAAAGAAAAAGAAAAAAACCTCTCCAAAACAACCCAACAGTATGTAAACCCCCCAATGTCCCAGTTCTCCATTTCAGACGCAGACTCTAACATCCCTCCAACTGGGAGGTGCGCTCCATCACCGTGTAGACTGAAAGTCGTGTCTCTATCCTCCCTTCAAGGCCCACAGAAAGCTGTGATCAGTATCTGGTATGTTAGGGAAGATGGTTTCCTGAAGTGCTCCTGAAAGCTCACCGATTCTCGATTCTCAGGCCTGAAAATCTGACCCCCGCAGTCCAGGGCCTCTGCTGCTGCAGAGGAATTGATCCCTGCCGAGCCACTGTGTAAGACGGCCTGGAAGCCTGGAGCTCTGTGATTCCAGGGCAAGGACGAGCTGCCCTGTCTCTCCCCAAGCTGGGGGGCCCCAGAGGGGCAGCCTAGATGCCCCAACCCTGCCTGCCCTAGTCCAGCCAGGCTGGCCACACAGATCTCCCCGTGTTGCCGGGGCCTGCCCTCCACAGCTGAGGAGCCCATCACCAACTGCCCTCCCTCCGCCAGCCCTCCCAGAAGGACAGACAGAGCATGGTGGGCTAGGCCAGGGGGAGAGGGCAGGGACGTAGTGCTGCCGCCAATTACAATGGACAGGGGCCATTAAGCACAGAGCTGGGGTGGGGGCGGGGGCAGAGCAGTGGTGAGGCCCGGAGGGCGGCAGGCCTCCTGGTTAGCTCAGGGGAAAGCAACCAGCTCAGGGAGAGTGGTATTTTCTGGAATTCCTTCCTAGACCAGGAGAAGGAGAAGCGCAAGCCTCTCTTTTTGGTCCCCTTTCTTGATTTATCTAATCAATTTGCATTTTCTGAGGATTTTGATGGCTCCAGAGATCAAAGTAAGTCGTCAGTGGCCTCTTTCTGAGCTTCATAATCTATCTGTGAAATAAGTGTTAAGCAAATAACTCATACACTTCCCGTGTGCTTTTACGATGAGGCCTAAGGCTTACAAACATGGAGGTGAAGGGCCAGCACATTGCCTGGAACGGGAGACGAGGGGCTTGGGCACAGTGCCGGTAGGACGAGGAGGCATCTGACTGGGGCACTGGAGGGAGAGTGGAGGTGGCCTGGTCCGGAACTCCACACCCAGTGGCCTTGCGTCCTCACTCAGCAGTGTGGTCAGCCCTAGGCTGTCATGGGCCTCCGCCAGCTGCTCCACCCCCTCACCGTCCCCAGGGCCATCTGCAGTCTGCCATGACAATAGGCCTCAATAAACAAGTCTCCGCAACATTCTCGGTGGGTCTCAAATGGAAAGTTGGGAGCCTTCACCGAAAGACCCCCTCCTCTGCATCCAGATTCCTAGCGCCCCTTTTACAAGCTGCATCTCTGACGTCTCCCTTTTAAAAGTGGGTGCCTTACCAGGCATATGCGCATGCATGCCCAAGATCCTGGAGGAAAATGGAGAAGGGACGGCAGTGAGGCCATCCCCCTGGGGCAGGATTCTCACTTTCCCTCTCTTGCTCTGTTTCTCTCTGGTGAGCATATGTGCCCTGTAGCAGATTAAAAATAAGGATAAATAAAATAAAATAAATAGGGACCAGCAGTTAGCGTAATGGCTATGTCGCTGGACTCCCACGTAGTTGACCACGGTTCGCGTCCCGGACCCGGTGGCTTAAAACTCACACCAGGCGCGTGTGCATGCATGCCCAAGATCCCGAGAGGAAAATGGAGGAGAAGGGATTGCGGTGTGGCCCCCGGGGGGTGATTTCTCACTTTCTGTCTCTTTGTCTCTCTCTGTCTGGCTGGCGAGTGCACGTGCCCTATAGCAAAAACCTCTCAAAAAAATAAAATAAAATAAAATAAAATAAATAATTCTTGTTTTAAGAAGGTGAGCTAATTACCCAATGCCTCAACTCGGCCTATCCTCTTTCTCGGCTACAGCATCCTCAGCCCTCTTCCCATCATCCCCCACTTCCCTTCCCTCCAGGAATCTGCTCCCTGTAACCTCCCCTACTCCAGTCGCTGCTCTCTTGGGAGGATAATGAGAAGCCTCACCCAACCCTGAAATAAGCCTTCGGGAGGGAGTCTGGTCCCATAAAGCTGTGTGACCTCAGGCGGGTCTCTCTACCTCTCTGGGCCTCAGCTTCCCTATCTGGACAGTATGGCTCTGGGAGGCGTCCCACCTTCCCAAACTTCTGGGATCCGATCAAGCCATGACTTATTTATTTAGAAATCACATCTGCCTCTCACACAGCCTAGAACCTGGAAAATAAGGGAAAAAAGAAGTCTCTAAGCATCCAAAAGAGATGCCAGGAGTCTGACAGGCTAAATAAAGACCATACACTTCACTTAGGAGCACCCCGGGGACTCTGCTCAGCCCTGGTTTGCTCCTAATTTAGACACAGCCCTAACGAGGGTGCTTATCTGGCTTTCTAGCCCAGAGCCTTCAAAGGGCTGCAAATGAGACTTACAGGGTGCTGCTGGAGGCAAAGGAGCTGATGACAATTAGAGGTGACAGCCGACCCCTCCCAACCAGGAGAGCCACATTAGACCACAGACGCTCCCCTACCTACCTCTGCTGTCCCAAGAGGGCAGGCCAGTGAGTAAGAGATGTAAGTTGACCCGACTGCCAGGAAAGGGTTAACCTGCCTTCATCCTGCTTGTCCGTTCTAGTCTCACCTAGCACCACTGAGCTGAAGTCTGCTCGCCTTGGCCCTCTGCCATGGATTTCCAGCTGGGCTCCAGCCCCGCCGGCAGCCGTGTTTCCCACTATCCCCAGTGTTGGCACTTGAGTTCTTGCACTTCTAGACCCTTCTGGTTCTTTCCACATCTCTCTCTCCTACACCTGTTCCCTCTGCTCAGAAAAGCCTGCCTGCCCCCCTCCTCTCTGGTCCACCTGGGATCTTTGTGGAGACAGCTCCCCTCAGTCTGGGCCCGTGTGCTCAGCTGCTCTCTGCCGGGCCAAGGTTGCTGTTCTCTGGCGTTAGGTGGGCAGCCCCACCCGGGCCATTCCGTCCACATTTCCTGCTCCCCGAATACCACCCATGAGAGGCTTCCTTTCTGGGTCACATGCTTGCTGGAAGGGAGAAGTGGGCATCTGAACTGTCCCGCCCCACGGCGCTCAGGGAAGAATTGAGAGAGGGCACATCTGAGAGCCCCCTGGAGGCCCCACCTGCCCACCCCCAACCCAGGTCCAGCCTGGCCACTCACGGAACATGGTCATGAACTGCTTGGGGTTGAGGTTCCAGTAGCCCCAGTTGGTCCGGTAGCCATGCAGCGTGGCATATTCCTCATGGTTGTACGCAGGTTCCGTTCCGAAGGTGTCGATCACCCGGATTCGGCACCTGCCCCACCCCCAGGGACCAGGAGCAGGGTCAGCAGCCTCTGTGTGTTCCTGGGCTGGGGCTATCCCAACTGTGGCCCATGGAACTGGCCATGCAGTGCAGGTTAGAGCTTGGGCCTGCACACGGCCTAGCTGTGTGACCACAGCCAAGCACCTTAACCTCTCTGTGTCAGCTTCTTAATCCATCCAGTAGGAATAAGAACAACCCAACAGTCTCGGGGTTGTACTCAACCTCCTGGTCCCTGGTGAGGCTCCAGAACTGTGAGCCATAACTACTGCCAGGAGTGTCGGGGGGGGTCCCTCCCTATCACCCCAAGATCACCTGTAAGTTCTGCACTACCTGAGGAGAGGGGTGGGGAGCAGCAGGACCTGAGGGGGCTCACAGCCCTGGGATGTGCCCAGCCTACCCACCTGCCACTGCTCCGGCCACCTTCCAAACCAGTGCCTCAAAGTCTCTGCCAGGCTGGCTCCCACAGGGAGACCTGCATCGGAGAGGCCCTGTCCCACCCACCCTCCTCCCTCTGCTGTCCTCAGGGGCAGAGGCTTCAAGTCCGAGGCTCAGAGGGACTTTGTACCTGCAGAAACAGTCCCCTGAGGGGCCAGAGGACTTGGAGGCACTGTCTGGGCCTTAGCCCAGAACCTCACCCACTCCCTCAGCAGTGGGCACCTGAAGGCAGACTCAGGATTCGGATGCCCCACCCGGAGCTTGGTGCTGGGCAGTGTCCTTACCAGTGACCCAGTGGCAGAGTGCTGAGGTCGGCACTGTTCCCCCAGAGAAGGGGCAGGCGGGGCAGCGCTGGTGCAGAGAACACGCGTTCATAATAAAAGTAATAACACCGCCTGTCACCTTTTTCCCTAATAAAATCATGGGGGATCGGCGGCGAGACTGGAGCAAGCATAATAAATAGCAGCTCTCTGTGCTAAATTAAACCACGTCCCGCTGGCCGCAGACGGAGCCAGGACCTTGGCCTTCCTCCAGACCGAGGGGGCGGGTACAGGGAGGGCCTTGGGAGAGAAGTGCTGAGCCACTGCCCCCAGGCCCCCAGCAGAGGTCGGCCAGGGCAGTCCCATCCCCTCCCACCCCTCCCTCAAGGCTGCCTCCTCTGCCCAGCCTCCCCTAGCAGAGGGCCTGGGAGCGGCTCCCCGGGGTTTATCAATTATCGAGTCAGCAGGAGGCAGAGCTGGTCTGAGAGGGAGGCAGTGGGAGCAGGCAGGGCAGAAAGCAGGGGGGCCACCTTGCGCCTGCACACGGGGCAGGGCAGCCTGTGTCAGTCACCACCCCTTCCCCAGTCACCACCCTCCCCGCAACCTCTCACCGGTACTTCTTGAAGGAGAGCCCCATGTGCTGCTTCATCTGCTGCAGGCCGTGGTAGTCCGTGTAGATGAGGTCGAAAGGCAGGGGCATGGTGAGCGGGCAGCTCCCTCGGCCTGGCGGCACCCCTAAGTTACTGAGAGAAGAGCCCATCAGAGTCTGAAGCACCAGAAATCCACTTTCCAAATCAGCCGTCCCACTTCCTAGAGCCCAGGACACATAGGGAGATTGCAACGTGGCAGCGAGGAAGTGAACCGGAAGGCCATGTCCAGTTGCATAGGTTCCTCACTGCACAAGGAGGCCCAGTGAGGGGCGGGTGAAGCTGAGATCCAGCCTGGGCACTTGCCCAGCCTTACACCTGGCCTAGGCTGTGCTCCAGGAGGAAGGGGCGCCTTTTATAACTGCCACAGACGTGCTCCCGCACGGCTGTGCCTGCCCAGAGAGGGAGCCTTCCTCTGGCTAAGTGCCACGAGCATTGCCCTGGGCCCTGGGTATCGGAGCTTCTCCAGCGCGTGTCCTGCTCCAAAGGGTCACAGAGCCCCTGCTGCCCAAGAGCAGCTCCAGGGCTGGCTAGGGCAGCAGCTCCTGCAGGCCTCTGGGCTCCACTCTCCACTCCAGCTGCCACACAGGCTGAGACTCAGGGCCTCGGGGTGCAGTGTGTCCCTGCATGCCAGGTCATCTACTGGCAGGTCTACATTAGTGACAGGGCCACCCCTGGTGACCTGGAAGACAGCTTTAGCCAGAGGGGGGAGGTGCCCCTCGGCCCTCTGACATCCTGATGGCAGGAGGCTGTGGGTCTCTCATCTCACTTGGACCGGAGAATAGGCCATGGCCTGCTGGCCCTCTCGAACATCACACCTGCTCAGACGGTTCCTGGTTCAAGTCCAGAGACCTCCCTGAGTGCACTGGACACGTGTTTGCCCATGACCTGGGGCTGGCTGAAGGCTGGGAATGGATCGTGGCATTGACAGCCTTTTGGGAGTGCTCTCTTTCTCTTGCTCATGGAAGAAATAATTGAAAACTTAAAAAAGTTGGGTGAGCAGGCCAGCCAGTAGTGTGGTGGTTAAAGAAGCCGGATCCCATAGGACTGAGCCTGCAGTTCGAGTCCCAGACCCGGTGGCTTGAAAAACACACTGGGTTTGTGCGCATGAGTGTTTGAAATCCTGAAAGGAGGGAGAAATGGAGAAGGGATTATAGTGTGACCATGTGGAGAGAGCCAATCCGAGAAAACACGGTGACCTTTAGACGCACGCAGAGCTTCATTAACAATGGCTATGAGAGCATTTACACACAGAAACGCTACCTGCTGTTGTCAGTACTCTTCCTGTTATTGTCGATACCCACAACCAACACACTGCAGGGCAGTATCAGGCTGAAAAAACCACACGTAATCAGAAAAATTGCATGGCGCCATTCGGTTTCACATCTTCAAATAGTTCACATCCCCCAAACGACTAGCTTTATGTTCCATTTCCTCTTCCCCCATTTTCTGCCCTTTAATAAAATAAGCCTGGGACCAGCAGTTGGCATGATGGCTATGTTGCTGAACTCCCATGCAGTCGACCACGGTTCGAGTCCTAGACCCGGTGGCTTAAATTCATGCCAGGCGCATGTGTATGCGTGCCCAAGATGGCGAGAGAAGAATGGAAGAGAAGGGAATGCAGTGTGGCCATCCCCCCTGGGAGGTGATTTCTTGGTTTCCGTCTTTGTCTATCTGTCTTTCTGGTGAGTGCACGCGCCCTATACCAAAAACCTCTCCCCCCCAAAAAAAAGCCTAAGGCCAATTCCTAGTCACAGCTTTCGCTACCAGAGAAGTCAGATCCACCCAATCCTCACTTTTCTATAGTTGTGTGTCTTTGTGTGTTTATTATTATGTTTGTTTCTAGTCCACAGCCTTCCCCACTCAAAAAATCATCTTTAAAACAAGTCCCGGCATGATCAACTCCTGGGGAGGGGTGTGCTTTCTCACTTCCCTGTCCCCCACCTCTCTCTCTCTCTCTCTCTCGTGATGGCACGTGCCCTCTGGCTAATTAAAAACTAAAACTTTGGTGAGCCATTGTAACAGCATTGAGATGGAGACCTAATGAGATTCTGGCGTGAAAGGTGGGGGCCTTTGGGAGGTGACTGGACATGGGGGAGGGAGCTCCATGACTGCATGGGAACAGGGACCGAGACACGCTCTGCTCCACACTCGTCCTCCTGCCTCTGCCATGCTGTCACACCCCAGAACCTGCCCGGATGTGGCCCTGGACCTCCAAAACTGTGAGCTGAACAAACTGCCCGGCCTCAGGTATTTCCACTGCCAGCAACGCAGCAGACTAGAACGCGGAGAGCACAGGAGCCCGTCTCCGCCTTCCTCTCAGCAGCTCTCAGCAGGTGCACAGTGTCACCTGAGGGCCGGACGTCGCATCCTCTGCTCTGACCCAAATGGGGAAGCAGCCGGGCCATGGGGCTCCGACCCTGGGACGCCCACCTCCCCTGGACTCATGGAGCAGGTGCTGGAGCTGGAAGAGGCCCATGAGAGCCTGCTGAGCCCTTCGGGGACCCACATGACAAGCACACAGGCCCAGGGGATGAGTGTTGACAAGGTCAGCAGCTCGCTGATGGCAAACGGCCACAACTCATGCTTTCCTTGGGTAATGTCTTGGGAGCCCTGAAACAACTCAAGCCAGGTGGAAAAGTGCCAGTCTGGGCTCTGCGCTCTCTGTGCAGGCTCCAAAGCTCGGGGTAGGGGCTGGACACGCTGTCCCTGTGCGCCCTGTCCACAGTGGCACCTCTTCAAGGATGGCTTTGGTCCCCTGCTAAGGGGGGTGAGATGGACAGGTGTCAGGGGGCGCGGCAGAGAAGGGCCACGGGAAGGAGGGGCTTGCTCTGTGCTGCCCCCTATCAGCCAGGGTACCCCCAGTCTCACTGAGCTGCTCCATGCTGGCGTCCGCCAGGTCTGAGCTTTGGCTGCTAAGTGTGGGGAGGGAAATGCAGACACCAGTCACCCTTTTCTCCTCATTTTTAACCCTAAAGTAACCAGTGGACTCCCCTCCCACTCCCGTCTCTCTGTGTAATCACACAGGATTCTCAAAACCAGGCTTCCAAGGCAGTGCACCTCCTAAGCCTTTTTTGTTGAAATACCCAGAAAGCAAAGGAGAATGAACACAGACGCAGGGGCCTGGGGCCCTCGCAGGAAGCAGCACAACCCGGAGACCCCATGAAATATGAGGTGGTGGTGCTACACGTCGAGCAAGCTCCGGGGTCTACACTGCAGGACAGAACTGCAGGTGCTTCCTTAGAAACGTGGGTTTGCTCGCCCCAGAACTCCCCCAGTAAAGCCAACACCCCAGAAGGAAGTATCTCTTTTGCCCTGAGGTTCCAGGAGTTCCAGGCGGAGGACAGACCCTCGTTCTCACCCCCCCCCAACTGAGAACCACAAGCCAAAGAAGGAAAAGCCGATTCCTCTATCCCTCCATTGCAGACTCGGGGAAGAGGCTGCTGCCCCTCACCCCCATGTGCACTCGGTCTGTAAAATCGAGGCAACCCAGAAAACTTGAACAGCAGTGCGATTTGGGAGCTGTTCCCTGCCCCAGTGCTGTCCCGGCCTTTGCATGTATTCTGGCTGGTTTCCAGGCCACGTGTGGTCCCTCTGTCCTGGGCTTCTTTTTCTTGCCCCACCCCAGTCACCAAGGTCACTGAGAGGACCACGGGCTGGAGCCAGCTGCTGCGGCTGCTCGACGTGAACCTGTCTCAGCCAGCTTCAGGGCTGGCTTTGAAAGCATCATCCCACGCGCTTCCGATTCATCAGCTCCTGTCACCTAGGAGAGCAGACCTGGCCTCGTCCTGCTCCCCCTCACAGACTAGCAAACAGAGAGGCGTCGTCCTCCACCAGGGTCCCACGGCCAGGACGGAGAAGCGCTGGGCTCCAGTGCCCACACTGCCACCCACCAAGCTCTCTGCCCCCCGGGTCCCCAGACTCCCGCACCCAGTGGAGGGTGGTCACACCACAGTGACGATTCTGCCACAGGAGCCCTGGGCTGCCGAAGGCCGCGGCTCCAGTCTCGCATTCGTCGCTAACCTGGGCAGACATAAGCTCCTAGCAGCTTCATTTTTCTTACTGGCAAGAGGCAAATAAAAATGCCAATTTCATGAGGTTCCTGGCCTGGTCCTTGGCAGGACCTAGAGAGACAGCAGATTACTGTCGCTTCAGCCGTCGGTTCCACCCCCGGATCTCAGACCTGGCAACTCCTAACCGCTGCCCCACCCCGCACTCCAGACCCCAGTCATGGCGCGCCTGGAATCCTGAGGCTCGTCCTCCTGCCTACAGGTTCTGGCAAACAGGCCAGGTGGCCGTCACCATCGTCTGACCGTGACAGCGGACACTTCCTATGTCTGTCCTGGGCAAGGCAAGAGCAGCAAAAGTGCCTAGTCACCCCAAAACCTCCCCACCAGGCCCACCTAGGGACTGCACCCTGCCTGACAGAATCGGTTCTGCCTAGGAGGCCCCCTCACCTGCCCCTCATCCCCAAAGCCTTTCCCGGACCCCTGCAGTGAGCCATGTCCCTCCCCTGCACCCTCTGTCCACGGCCTGACCTAGGGCACACCTGGTGACTGTCATAAGTTACCTGCTCCCACTGGGGGCCCCGAGGGCAGGGCCCAGTCACCTATAAAGGCAGGCCAAGATCTGACCTGATAACTTCCAGAAGGAGTAAGCAAGCCAACAGTTCCAGGGAGCCCCTCAGCAAGATCTGGTTAAACGGTGCAATCTGGTCACGGCCAGTGTTAGCACGTGGCTAAAGTGGCTGGATCCCACATGGCCACTGCGTGGTTCCGGCCTGGAGAACACACACACAAAGGTGTCCAGAAGACCCAAAGGAGAACAGAGAACGGACTGTGGTGCGACCATGGCCCCTGGGGGTGCTCTCCCACACACACCCCCACGCCGGCCTCTCTCCAGCGAGTGCGCGTGCCCTATGATACACTTTAGAGTAACTAGTAAGTAAATAGTGCGGTCGAGCGTGCCTGGGGGCTGGATGGCGGTGCAGTATAAAATGATGTTCTGCAAGGCTGCCCGCATGGAGGGTGGTAGGTTCGGATCCAGAGCTGGCCCAGCAGACTCCAGGCATGCCTGTGACCATGATTCAGACCGGC